ATATGAAGAGGCAGAAGCCATGCACCGACGAGCATTACAAGGCCGAGAGAAGGTGCTGGGCCTTTCGCATGCAGACACACTCACCAGCGTCAGGAACCTCAATTCCGTTATTAAACAACAAAAAACATATGCAGAGGGCGCTGCGCACTGATAGCAATTCCAGATCTTATATTTTTCTATAAACATGAATCGTCCTTTTTCGCACTGGTTTTCTGTTCGCATAAACTTGGTGTCTTCAGCCAATTACCCTTTCTTGCTTTGAATACACGTACATATTTTCACAGTCAACTATTATTACTTATTTTTCACTCAACATCATACCATGCGTATGTACTCCTTTGGGAAAGAAAAGCTTTTCGTATTATTTTCTGCTGGTAAAATGAAAATTACTAGCCTGACAGACGGCCTCCCGCTAGCGTTCCCGCTTTGGGACCATTAACAAAGAAGAACAGTGTTCGCAGCGGAAGCTGATTTCGCTAGGTTGTGTAGCGCTTTCTGCAACTCTAGATTGTGTTTCTCCAGATCAGCTTGCCTTATATGAGATAGACGTAGGTCTTGCTTGAGTTTTTCTACTTCATCTCTAAAAATAAAGGTAGACTCCTGATCTGCTTCTACAGCCCAGATTTCGCCTCTTTCAAGCGCTTTCTGTAATTGAATATAGGTATTCGTCGAAAGTTCGCTGAGTGATTTTGCGAATAGGTTGTGTTTGACATCTTTATAACGCCATGAATAGCCATCTCTCGGCAAAGGTTGCAATCGTACTTCGGAGGGCAAAATATTCATAGATAGTCTTTTGTCTATCATATCTTAGTTACATCCGAACTGAATTCCATGCCACTCACAAATATGTTGGGAGAGTGCTTCGCGACATTTAGCACGTTCAAGAGCCCGTTTACAGTTCGCGGAGTTGGACATTGTATATATATTCCAGCGTCAAAGAGTGTGTTTGGGCTTCTTTGTCAGAGTGTTGATTGCGATAAGGACAGCACTGAAAAGAAAATCTCTGTTCACGCCAGGTGTTCACGCCAGTGAGTCGCATGCTTCCATTGATTGCAGATAAAATGCACAGTACTTAACCTATTGAAGGCACTGTACATTCTGACTGTACAAGATCCGGGAAACCTCTGTATTAGAGTAGAGGGACTTGAACGGAGGCTGATATATTGAAATAAGATAGTTCAAAATGAACTCTCAGCTGCCGGCCTCTGATGGGACTCAAAATCCCTGTACTACTACAGTCCTTCCGGAAACTGGTGTCATCGCATCCACTCTTTGATTGTTTATGGAGCCCTAACCTGAAACCACGCTAATCTAGTTTTAGAACGGAACAAGAAAATAGCTAGACCATGTATGTAACGCTAATTCCAGTCTTATATACTAGCTGGCGGTATCAATGGCAGTGCCGGGTGAATCATTAATTAAAATGCGTTATTATTTTCGTGACTTTAGTTAGTTAATATCACTCAGCGAAAATTCACACTTGACTTACAGTATTACAGGACACTATTGGTCATTTCCAGAACTGGATAAGAGTTCTATCCAAGTTCAGTCGATTTCCAAGACAGTGAACTGACCAAGCTGGTTAATTCAGCTTATGAACTAATTCTTTAAAGCTGTTTACGGACAAGGCTAGAGTAGTTGCCGCTTTTTGGGTAGATGATATCACTAGTGTAGGTATCATTTAACTAGAAATTATCAGGACTTTTCGATTTATTGCTACCAAAAAAAAAAACATAGCTATAGCTACTATACTAAGATAAATATCTCAACCACCGCCGCCATTGATACCGCCAGTTCCTCCTCCTCCTCCTTCAGAGGCCGCCTCGCAGACGGCCAGGAAGTTAAGTACAAACTCGGCTTGTTAGTCTCTGTTAGTAAAAAACGCAAGTAAACCTACCGATTCAGATTTACAGCACGCTGTATGAGTACTGCAAGCACTGCCCACTAGAATAAGTCAGTACTAACTTACTGCGTATAACTTATCATGCTTACAGGGTGAGCAGCCAACACCTACTGTCAGCTGGGTCCCAAGAATATTGGTTGGGACAAGAAGCGGGCAGCATTTGGCAGTATAGCCGGACGGACAAGAAACTGCTTGCCGCTGATGTACCTCAGCCACTGGACTTCCCACAGCTCCCAGCGCTGTAAATAGTAGAATAAAAGCTTTCGTAGACCACATCTTAATATCGGTTTATCAAATGAGTTGAACTTTTATCAAGACAATTTTGCTTGTCTTAGCTACTTATATAGAAGAACAGTGATCTAGAGCTAATTATAGAAGACGTCATAGTGCGGGGAACAGTAGATCGACTAGGTCTGGACCCGTATACAAAGCTGGACCCGAATATTTCGGCTCGGCCTAATCACCGCCACTCATGGTCCATTTTTCTGGGTAAAATACACGCGATATTCTTTCCTGAAATGCGTTGAAAATAACAAGCCTAAGTGCTTTCGGGTAGATAAAACAGGTCTATACGGGTTGAAACATACACGGTGTAGCATTATTCCGGCTCCGTACCACACTTGGTTTAACGCAGTTTCAAGTCAGGGTTGCTGGAACAATCAAAGAGTGTAGCTGGTGACTCCGGTATCCGGAAGGACTGTATCCGGAAGGACTGTAAACCACGTGTGGTACGGAGCCGGAATAATGCTACACCGTGTATGTTTCAACCCGTATAGACCTGTTTTATCTACCCGAAAGCACTCAAGCTTGTTATTTTCAACGCGTTTCGGGAAAAGAATATCGCGTGTATTTTACCCAGAAAAATGGACCATGAGTGGCGGTGATTAGGCCGAGCCGAAATATTCAGATCCAGCTTTATATACGGGTCCAGACCTTGTCGATCTACTGTTCCCCGCACTATGACGTCTTCTATAATTAGCTCTAGATCACTGTTCTTCTATATAATAAAGCTAAGGCAAGCAACACTTGTCTTGATAAAAGTTCAACTAACCTGATAAACCGATATTAAGATGTGGTCTACGAAAGCTTTTATTCTACTATTTACAGCGCTGGGAGCTGTGGGAAGCCCAGTTGCTGAGGTATATCAGCGGCAAGCAGTTTCTTGTCCGTCCGGCTATACTGCTAAATGCTGCCCGCTTCTTGTCCCAACTAATGCCCTTGGGACCCAGCTGACAGTGGGTGTCGGCTGCTCACCCTGTAAGCTAGATGTATTCCGTGTATTGAGCTATTACTGACTTATTTTAGTAAGCACTACATGCAGTACGTATACATCGTGCTGTAAGACTGAATCAGTATGTTTACTCGCCTTTCGAAACTAACAGAGACTAACAAGCTGAGTTTGTGGTAAAATTTCTTACTATCTGTGAGGGGTCTTCTACCGGGGGTAGTGGATCTGCTGGAAATCCTGGTGGGTCAGTAGGCTGAGTTCGTCTGCCGTAGGTGATTTTGTTGAGCCCGAAGGAAAAGTAGTAATGTAATTGTTGGTATACTGTATTATCTGCAGAGATTGAACGCTGCTTTAAAAAACTGTCCCGTCGATACTAATATGAACTATCAACAGAAATGAATTAAGAGATACCTGGAATGGAAGTCAACTGCTGACTGACATTATGGAGGAGAAATACTTGGCTAGGAACTTACTGAAGATGGAGAGCTCTTTATAATAGGCTCAGCACTGCAGCTATGCTGTCGCTTTGTAAGAGAATATTATTTCATAGAAGTTGTATTATTTAAACCTATAAAATTATTATTGGATTGTACTGAAGAACCTCGTAATCACTGTTATCATCAACTCGCGGATTACCACGGATCCTAGAGATGACATAACTATTTATCAAGACAGGAATGAAGACGATGCAAGAAGACAAAGAGGCCCTCGCGCCTAATGCAGCTTGAGCCATGGGCGAACCACAAGTAGATATACTGGGTAAGTTTCTGGTATTAATAGGACCACTGCCACAAGTTCTATATTGTTGGTTCACATAGGCATAGGTCTATTCAAAGATAAAGTAGACAGACTGGCTGTAAGTTATCTCTTTAATTCCGATAAGCTTCGACAGACCAAAAGACAAGAGTCTGGCCGGCAAACGATACTAGAAGCGACTAGAACATCGTGACCTACAAGGTTACCAAAGGCTAGCATAGGACTAGATCACTGTAGACCTACCGATGCAGTTTCACGGCACGCAGTATGGGTACCGCAAGTACTAACCACTAAGTAAAGTTAGTGCTAATAGCTAGACTGTAGATATATATACAGACCGTACAGCTAACACCAATAAATTGTTGGGCCCTAAGGATATCCGTTGGGATCAGAAGAAGACAGCATTTTACAGCTTGGCCAGACGGACAAGATATTGCCTGTCGATAGGTGAACTCAGCTACTGGACTGGCGAGAGCCCCGATAGCTGGATATAGAACAATTATCTGCAGACCATATTATAGGAAGTTAAAAGCTGATAAGTGTTTGAACTCATCTTTATCACTGATTTTCATTTGAAAAAAAAAAAGATGATGGTCTAGAAACATACAAACGTCACTAATGCGGGGAAGTTGGGAAAACCGTGTCTCGGCTCGTATTTCTTTTGAGTATTAAAAAGAAGATACTAATAGATTATAAGCTAGTATATAAGACTGGAATTAGCGTTACATACATGGTCTAGCTATTTTCTTGTTCCGTTCTAAAACTAGATTAGCGTGGTTTCAGGTTAGGGCTCCATAAACAATCAAAGAGTGGATGCGATGACACCAGTTTCCGGAAGGACTGTATACGTACCCTAACTATCTATAATCTTTTACCTTTCAACCCGACCGCTTTGACTAAATCAATTCCCCAACATTAGAATACGATTTTTTTTTATTATAACTGAACTGCCTGTTCGACTATCACAGCCAGAGTTCATTTTATTATAAGTACTGACGGTTATCTCTTATCAGCTTAATTAGAATAGTTTCTACTACCGAAAGAGGAAGCCAGAGGAGCTAGACTGACTAATGGTCAGATTGAGCCACTCTAAGAGGGGCTGTAGAATAAAAAAATTAGATAAAAAAAAACTAATACAGGCCTCGGTAAGGCTTCAAATCTATCAGAAAAATAACAGTTGACAGTAAGAAGATATAACTAGAGATAGCTATAGTAGTTACCTCTATATCACCTAGAGTCAGGGGTCAGCGTATGAATCATCATCATAATTATCGACTGTAATCTGGCATAGGCATGGCAGTTGTGCAAAGCACTGTACTGTGATAATTTGCAGACCCAGCAAGAAATTCGATTCTCTGCTGCTGGAAACAGGTTGCAAGAGGAGTCATGTATCTCATGTAATGAGTAAAATAAGAGATCTATTCCAAGTTTAAATTCTACATATATTACAGTAAACAAACGTGTATATATACAGCATGTTCGACGTATCCAGGTACCTGTCTCAGCACTCTCGAACAATCATTAAGGATCACTTTCAAACCGCCATGAACATTGACACTTCAGCTGACCTTGGTCATTCGCCACGATAGAATCTAATACTTGTCATCAATGGTATCCGAGGTCTAAGAAAACCACCCACCAAGAGGGACAGAGATCTCGTACGCCTCTACATCGTACGACGACAGAACACAAGTGTTTGTCAAGAATCTAGAAATCGGATTGTATGCATACAGATAACCAGGATTATTGCTGCATAAATACACATGAGCGAACTGTCAAGATAGACTGTAACAGCGGGTGCAGTCACCGAGCCGGCTACCTGAGGGCCTCAATATCGCACTCAGCCAACGACCACGTCGACGTTAGATACCATGCGTGCGTAGAGCTGTAGCAAGATCCCTCCAAGCTTTCGTTGCCATAAAAGCTACTTAACTAAGATCGCAGCTGTCCAGATATCCTTAACAAGTCACGGAAACCACCGCTGGTACCAGAAAAGTCAAGACCTTGACGGAGCCAGACATACGTTAAGTAGAGCTGAAATCAGCCACCTACCCATCAGAAAATCCGAGGTGTATCTAACCAAGCAAAATAATATTCTTAAAATGCCTCTGCAGATACTACAAGCATTAGAAGGGCTTATAGCCCTGTTTTGTCTTTCGACCCCGCGTAGCGGAAGGTTTGCGACAACATATCCATCTATTAATTGTCCGGGTGGACTGCTTACCAGTATAACCCAAGCACAAACAAGAAGGGCTTAGCTTTTGTAGCCTGTGGCCCTGAAAATAATTGACGTGATCCTCCCGGTGGGGCGAAATGCTCACGTGGTAAGAAGGAGTAGGATTAGTGGTAGTACTCAAAGCAACTGAGACAGTAGTCGCTTGCAGTTTCCCTCCGAAGGTGGCAGCGCTGATCAAGGGTATTATATTGGTTAGCAAGCCAGCAGAGGTCGCAAGTTGGGCCTCGATATTTGTGTCACTTCCGTGGAGAAAAGCAGCAAGAACATTGGTCGCAAGCAGGGCATCAACAAGGAAAACAAGCAGACTGATAATTAATACTTGAGCCATAGAGAAGTGTATAGCATCTATAAAAATAAACAGTCTGTTGTCTTTTCTGTGAAGATCTGGGTCTTCCTTGTTTTCTGCTTCCTTGTTTAAGAATTCTTTGTATCACTTCCTATCATTTACTGTAAAGGGCAGAGTAAGAATAATTCACAATACCAAAAACAAGGGTAAATACGGGATTGCACAGGCAAAGGCAATCCTTAGAAAAGTTGGGAGTTAAGGGAAATGGAGCAATACTGGAGCTTGCATAGGAGCAGATGATGCGTACATATTTATATTGCTGCCTTCCTTTACTACCTTCCCATACGATATGATATGTCTGACATCATTGGCCCACACGGGTCAGAGCGCGGAGAATGTAAATCAGAAACTGACATTGAACGGCCGCATGACACATGTAGTTCATTGATAGAAGGCTTTGGTTTCTAATGATAGTATAGTTTCTGATAAGTCTAGGATACTTTTAATATCTCATTATTGACTTTTACTTGATATCTAATAACCTAAAAATAAGATCTATGTATTCTCGAACGGCTTGCTCCCTTTACCAAGTATAAAGTATTGTGAATTAGATGAGAGTCTCTCTAAACAGTAACAGAATTAGTAATACCAGTGATCAGAAGAACAAGTGTGCACAATTTGCGTATGTTTGATGCAGAGTAAAGCAACCAAAATAATAGTCTAGCTCGTGGAAATAGCGGTAAGAAAGTGTAAGAGAGTGCAAATTGATGGTATTCAGATAAACAAGGTCCTTTGTAAAATTGATTTCGAGGTATGTTTGACTTTCGAAACTCGATCGCTCTTGCTTTTCAGAAGTAGGAAGTGATTCACAAAAACAGATCACAGTGTAATTTAGTTAGCTGCACAATTCCCATTACTGGGGCCTTGGATCACTTTTCCATCTCTGTATTGAAGACTCTCTGAAGTCGAGCTAGTAGAACGTTATTGTAGGTGATAAACAAAGCCCCGGAGAAAATCGCAAAAAATCCTGTTATAGCGGCAGTCACAGTAGCTATTACTGACCATGTCTTGGCTTGTGCTGTATAAACATTTATCAACGTATTAAAAAAGCCAGTTGCCGAATTAATCAAGATGGGCCTGTTAGCAAACGTCAGCTATTTCTCTTACTAACCAGAGAAAGTAGCTATACAGGAATATCTTGCGCGCAGTCCACACATAATTGTGCTGATTACGGTAGTATAGCCAACATGCTCCAGAAAGGCCTATGAAGCAGCATATTGAAGCAATACTGAGGAGAGAGACATTCTGAACAGCATGGTATGCTGTTCGTCCAATCGCATTGCCATCGGCTGTCGTTTTGAATGATGCAGATGTTCGTAGTGATGTGAAAGTACCTGGGAAAACCAAATACCCAGCTAGAAGAATCCAACAGAATGCAGCAGCTAGAATACTATCTAAAAGGGGTATATTCTCCATATCAATCAACATCTGCACATATCTAACAGGGGATTCTGACTCTTTTCTATAGTTTTTCTCTGATTTATACCAGTCTTGAGGAATCATAGACTGTAGAGAAAGTCGCTTCAGACATATTTTCCAGCTCATGATATGACCGAGATATTGATAACAATTGATGTATTCTTTGTATTAAATAAAGAAGAGTCTTGCGTTCGCAATTTTTGGGTTTTCTGGGTATTTAAATATGTACTAATTTCAAAGTTTGTCATCTACACCGGGCGCAGGAAGGAGACACGACGTCAAGATATATCGAGAAGTAGTTGATTGTTGTAAGAGAATCCCTAAGAGGATCCTGAGAAAGAAGGCCCCCGTACGGGGGACCGTACAGTCACCGACGCAGTCAGGTGACAAAGTTTCATATTGATATTTTGTCAATGGCTTATAGAGATAGCCCTTAAATTGCTTCCTGGGCTGATAATCAACTAACAGAGATTGAAGAAAAAGGGTAAAATGCTATTCCTGTCAGCTGGAATAGAATATATGATACAAGACAGAGAGTCTTTTCGCTGCTGAATATGAACAAGAAGAGTTAACTGCTTCGTAGCTTGAATATTGTATTGCTACTTCCAAGGAAAAAGAAGGACAGATTTATTGAATCCTAAATACATAAACTAGCCTATACTTTTGTTTATCGTCACTCAATCGACTATTTGATTTTAAAGCAATAACATAGATAGCTTAGGCATGGCTTCTCAAGGATTGGAGCCTTTCCTTTCTTGCCTTGAAAAGCTCGGTCTTTGAGTGGGGTAATTCATTCTCTGGAAGCCATATTTGCATTTGATAGTTGTTTGTAGTCCCGTATCGCTTAGTTTTGATTGTTGTTGCGCCGAGACGATGAGCTTTATCAAGCTCATTTTCCCTTATCCAAATACAGATCATATAATCTGTTCTTCCATTTCCGATGTTCATATCATTGATAAACCATCGCCGCCTGGATGACAACCCAAGGATGTTGGAAGAATTACCTTCCGTGGAGTGCAGGCTGGTTTTGTTCTTCAAAGCAGAATTGCCTGAGTAGGTTCGAAGCTCTTTTTGATGTAGATTCCTGAATTTTAGACGTAGAGGCTCTGGCTCTGCCCATAGTCGCCACGATGTAGGCATTTTGAATCAGAATACCAATCTTATTTCTCTGTATGGGACTTTCAGTAACTGACTTGGAACAGTTATAATCAGTCAAAAACACACCTCTTCTGCAGGTTCGAAGCCTTGACCAGCAGGAGATGCATAATACAGGTACCCATACTTATATAAGAAAAAGCACTTACTGGTTAAGCTAGAGTACATATCTGTAACACAGTGTGCATTCGAGCAAATAGAACTTGCTCAAATTATAAACCACATTTCCCGTCATCTTATACTACTTATTACAAACAGCCTTGTCATCTAAATTCTGATATAACAATAAGTCAAAATGCCTGCAATAATACTCAAATCGGATCAAAGCACAATAAACACATCCCTTGTTATATTGAGCTCAGTCAGCTATGTATCTATATATTCTGAACATGGTATATCTGGCCGGCCTTTCTTTCATTGATATTGGCACTTTTTTATGTTTATTGACAACTTTATGCTTTTTTCTAGGTATTAGAATACCCAAGAGTCGCTTTCTACTCTGTGAAAACTCCGTACAGACTTCACGGAGCCAGGGATATTATATAAAGAATTCCAGATTCTCCTTGTCAACCTCGAAGATTGTGGTTCTTTGGCTGGGATTTATTGTTATTTTTTATATCATAATTAAGCAGGCAGAATGACTACAGGAATTATACAGGATAATAGAATATTAGTAGCCAATAGTTAGAAAAGTATGTGATAAATAGCGTCATTGTGAGTTCTCAAGAACCTAAAATTGCATGATGGTATAGCTTACATCTAAGATAATGAAACCCGAAACTATCATATACTCTATGTAAACAAAGAGCTGGAGTATATTTTATCATAGCTGACATTCAAGCTGCAATTGAACATTACAGTAGTGTTTCTCACGGCAAAGTTAGTGTTTGCTTGTCCAAAAAATACGAGATATCAAGAGGGATCTACTTACTCCCACCATTGAGATGCCTGGAGATCCTCATATATCGAAGATTTATCTTCGCCTATACCTCCCATAAGGCTGAATATAGCGCATTCACTGATTCCAATTCCACCCATTGCCCACATCATTTGCGCACGACGGATGTCCCAAAAGAAGACTTCTGTAGACTTTTTTGCAGACATCATTACTGAAACTAACCTGGCAATCGCCGGTCGCCGATACAGTCTGTTTTTTGATCTGACTGATTTTCTGACCCATAGCAGACCTAAAATGCCCCTTCCCAATTGTAAATGGTTCGAAGTTGCAGATGTGGCAGCCGATAAACTGAACTTTGATCCCCAGGTCAAAGCGTCTTTTGCTGACGGTGCCTTGGTCGCACATAAAATATCTGTCAAAGAAGTAGTTTTTCCCAGATCGCTGCTTGTGGAGGTAGGGCTTGCAGTCGGGCTAGGACTGGCTGGATTGTAGATAAAGTAGCAACTGACTCGATGGTGCGTACTTGGGGAGCGGCAAAAACACACTCCAAGATATGTGGTCTCTGCCTCTCTGATAGTACTGATGTCATATTGACTGCACCGCAAGCACAATAGCTTTGAACACCAGTGGGAATGATTCCCGCACTTGCCGGTATTGTTATACCTCATAAATTAATGAAGCATTAACAATATTGTGTGGTACATACGACGTTATGCTGCATGTGGGGGTAGACACTGCGTTTGAGGGAGATAAAACTTTTGCCTCGGACTAGAGAGAGCTGGATGGATTCATGGAGGAAACCAAATTTATGTAGCATATCACAATAGTAAGAAACAGTGTGAAAGCCATGGTATATAAAAGCCGGGTTCTGAGTACTTTCAAGGTGTACCTAAGTGACTAGTTTGAATAATAAATATATATATACGGTTCTCTATGTCGAGCGAAGAAATTCATTCATGATTTCTGAACAGAGACTCTTATTGAAAGATTGATAACTTACTATGAATCACACATCGCAGATCTTTTCTGGTACTGTCACATTCCCCATGATAACCGGAAGCTTAATCACCTACGATACCTCGTTTATTTCGAAAGTCGAGCCTACCCAACCGCAGGCATACACGTTGACAAGCGTCGCAAGTGAAAGACCTAATCTTAGTCGGATATTGGTTTTGTGTCTAGGACTAGGCCTTCTAGTTACAATGCAGGTCACGTCATAGCTGACTTTGGTCTGGGATATCCTACTTATAGTATTTTAAACACCTGGCGGCTAAGCTAAAAACAGGAATTAGGGAGGGTGAAACCACTGCATCTCCGTAACATACGTCAGCAAGATTTGAGCAGACAACTCACATGCAAAACGGCTCTCTTAGAATGGAGGATCTCACATATGGTCGAGGAACATGCTTCCAGTCAAAAATTGATTATAAAGCCAGTCAATTTGAGCTAGTATTTGGACTTTGATGTCGGAAGCGACTTAGGGTATAACGGCTAGGTTGATGCTATCTCACAAAAAACTAGATGTATCATTTGAGAGTACCGTACTGTACTTGATATAGAAGTTACTTCCATTTGTTTTGCCTGCCATTTTCTCCTGTAAGATAGGCTTGTTATCCCTCGTTATTCACGCAGTGCTGTGCTCCTATAACCTATAACTTACATGCAGTGTGAAAACTTATCTAGAATGTACTAAATCACCCACTCTACTAAAAGTGGTCTGAGAGCTAGTTTCGAGACTTGCAAGTATACAACAGTTGTAAAAGGTACAGTACTCAAACTGTGTCGCTAGGTTTTATAATTATGGTTCTCTGGAAATCTCCTGAGAATGGTCTTCGCGATATTTTCGGGGATGCTTTTCTTTTCCTATTGGCCTTCTAATACGTCTTAGGACACTCTGAAATCTACTTAGCCATAGGATTCCCTCAAATGTTTCCCGAGACCACGTGTTTGGATTCTAGGCGGCTTTATCAATCAAATAATAAATCTCTTTGTTCACATTCCGTCAAGATTTATCCCAAGGCGAGGGTACAGCCAGTAGAAGTCACTTCTTAATTGAAAGGGTAGTCTATGGGCTTACAGAGAATGCAGAAGTGGTGTAACTGAAAAGGTTGATGGCAATATAGGACTATACTCGTGTTGACACCCACCAAAATATTAGGAGAGCATAGATGAAACCATGCATTCATTGCCAGCTACCTCCTTCTAAAACATGTTTTCACTCATTTGCACTCAAATGAGCATAATTGTCGTTTTGTTTGTAGTGCAAAGTGAAATAGGCAAGGCTTGATATTTATGCATCACCACAATATCAAATATAGGCCTCCACCCCCACTTGTAGCATCAAGTGTCCCGTTACCGCAGTGAACAACACTGAATTCTTCAATTTCAAGGTGCCTTACACCGTCAGACCAGACTGCACCTCCCTGTGCAGACCGCTGTAGACAAAACAACCACTGAGACGTTTGAATCTCATATATATCTCCTTCGACCTGAAGAATGGCTGGTGACAAAGACGGCTCCTGATCGAAAATAAGTTTTCGAGTTTGTAAAGTGGGTTGAATCAGCTAACCTGGAGTATATCACGAAAAAGAGACACCAAGTAAAATATGTCCAGCGAGTAATCCTCTTTGATCATCCATGGAATGCATTTGTCAAGCACACCTACCGAATCGCACAGCGTGCAGATATTGTCAACAACTCCTGTTATATCAGGCACCGGATGAGAACAAGTGATTATTGACATATTTGCAAACAACTTGTTGTTAATCGTGCCAAAATACGAGACTTGAGATTTTATAAGTTATGTAATGAAGTAGAGGAGTCTTATTGACCAATTGCTTATATGTATTATACGACTCAGCTATAAGCTTTCGTAGTACAAAGGAATATTTTGATCCTCTTCTTGCTGGTCGAGTAAGATAGAAGAACAAATACAGTTTTTTAATTCCTGCAAAGTGTGCTCCCGTAATATAACTTTGATAAAACTAATCTATGTTATCATAACCTAAGGGTCTGCGACTTGAGCATACTTAGGACGAGTAGCTGCCAATACGGAGTTTAATGACGAGCATCTCAAAATCGATGTCTTATCAAACAGACGGCAAATTTGTGCCTCCCCTGGATCGGTGTTATTCGAGTAAAAGAAGAGGTTTATTTCCAAGCTCAGATTAAAACATTTTGCGTATTGACAAAGTAGTATTCAATATATACAATGTCTGCATAGTCCTGAGTCTACTCTGCGCACTTCAGGAATACCAGAACAAAGGCTTCCCTTTTGACCCAGTCTCAAATAGAGGAATGGGGCAGTTCTGTGTCAGCATAAGTTGCTAAGTCGTTTATGATTCAGGGATGGGAAATTTTTGCAAGATTCCAACGTAAAAGTCGGATGACAGCTGCTGTTGTGTGATGGATTCGTAGCTTAGATCTTCGATGCGGTATAGGCCTCCAGGGTCTTTCATGTAGAGAAGGTCTTGGCAGAGGCTTTTGTCGGCGGAACGAAGAATTTGTGATCGGAAATCAGTGTATATCTCACCCAAAATTTTGCATTCACGCACTGACAAATCTCTGTAACTGGTGGCATTCAGTCGTCGATGCCAGCGGGGGGGCCCAATACTGACAAAACGTGGAAGAAGACACAGGATATTTGGATCATGATTCCCAACATAGTCAACCAAGTGACTCCAGTAGCTTGCTTTTTTTCTCCCTTTCAATGCCTCCATTACCTCGTCGCGGCTTACTGGGACGGACGATGGCTTTCCTTCGAGTATCAGGTCCACAACACTCTCTAGATTGCCAGAATGTTCCTTTCTCAACTGCTGTAACTTCCAAGTACTGAGACGAAGCCCTATAGCAGATAATGTTTGATTCCTTTGATGCAGTCGATATGCATCAAAGGTACCCCAAGGGGTCTCCGGAAGATTAGTGTCCTTGTGTATGAGTTGTCCCCGGATCTGCCGCATACACTCTTTCAACGATATAAGAACGTCCGGAGAACCGATATTAATAGCGAGCTGCACCAGTTCACTCGCGCGCGTAATGCCCATGGGCATGTGGTCCTTTTCAGTTGTACGTGTTGCCACATCGCGGATCCTATCCCAGAGTCTGGATTCATACCCATGGCGAAACCCAAAGTTCGTCCAAAATGTCTCAACAGACATTGTGGTGTCTTCCTCAGTTGTAGGCAACGTCCCGAATATTCCCGCTCGAAGTAATCCATTGGTGCTCTGCGCTGCTTTAAAATCGTGCAGAACCTCGCGGGCAAGATCGAGACGATAGCCAGGGGGCACCGACTCTTTGACGTTCGCCCAGCTCACTCGCCGGCGGGTGATCCAGATTAACCCAGATGTATCGCACACTGATTCGATTACCTGACTTTGAAAATCCCACTCCGCATTCGTTCGTCCTTGCTGCTGTAAGATCTGGGTAATGTGCATCCTGATCTGCGCACATAGGGTACAGGTATCATGCTCGTTGGCAAGCACACTTTCTCGGCACAGATAATGAATTATCTTGCCATACATTTGCTGTATTTCAACAAGGGAGCAATCTTCGTCTTCTCCACTCATCAACAAGAGACGTTGTGGGCACTGTTGGAGCTCCTTAAGATCGGTTAATCTACCGATCCATGTGTCCGATGCAGTGTTGACCGCAGTGAGCTTGCGTGCAAAATATTCCAAAGTGGCTGCTCCGGCTGCTTGGTCACTAGTCGTGAGTTCTTTTAGCAAGCGTTGGACAAAGCGCCCATCATAACTCGCCCACGAGCATTGGAACCGGGAAGACGGACAGATCGTTTCTATCGACTGACAGTCGAGACCCGCTTTCTCTAGGTCCAAAGCAAAGTCTTCTAGATTTCTTGCCAACGTAGCCGACGTAGGAGGGCTAGAAACAGAATGATCAAGAGAAAATATGTCACTCAAAGTAGTAGGATTGAGGACGAAACTGTGTGGTGACAATGACGCATAGGGAGGTGTAGAGACGCGGGACTCATCGCCAAATGGTGTTCTATGTCTTTCTTGAGTCTCACGACAATTCAGTATTGAATTTGGCTCGGCCATCAAGTCCTTCCAAATATCAATTTCGGGAGACACTTGCGGCTGTGTGTAGAAATCCATTGCAGCGTTTGACTGAGGCACAAATAGAGCATCATCAGTTGTTGCAGGTGAGTCACGAACCGTCTTATGGGTTGTCGAATTTTCAATGTTGGGAACCATAGCCAATAGAGTTTCCAAACTCTCCCCATACTGATCCCCAAATCCGTGAAGAGGGGGAGACATATCATCACCTGGCATATGATCTGGCAGAAGTTCTGTCGCAAAGATTGCCGCAAGGTCTTCCTCAGAAATCACAACATCCATTAGGCCTGTTTCAAGAGGACTGGGCTGTATATTTCCCGCTTGGACCGAAGAATCGACAAGGTCAACTGCTGTTTCGTGGATAATACATTCGTTCGAAGTGACGGGTGACTGCGATAGAGAGATTCTAGTAATTTGATATTCCGGGGTCGCATGGTAGAATGCCTGCTGATCATCATGGGTGGGCTGTAGTAGGCTTGCAATGTACCGTACAATCTGCCGCAGTGGTGTTGGACTTTGCTTGCCAGACTCTGATTGCTGTGGCACAGGACAGACCACCTTGATCAACTCAAGCTTCCGATCACGAGCGTCTCAGTACAACATCAATTGCGGGAACTTGTGGCTCTTACCAAAGCTTTCGTCACATTTTCTCGTGTCCCTTTGCTCTCTTGTAGTTCATCCAGAGCACGGCTCAGTGCCCTCTGGCAAACATTAGTACTAAGACACAAGCATTACAGCAGCATAGACTGACCGTTTTGTCCTCAATGCTCTGCTTGAGTTCGGCTTGCATCGTAGAAGAGTATGGACGGCGTGACCTACATCTCAGCGGGCGAAACACGACCCCTAATATTTTGCTTCTGAGATTAGCCCAACAATGGTCTTGATAGGAACAAAAGCTCAATGGTCGAGACAAAGAATCAAATGGACAGGGGCCGCTGACTAGGGGCACACACCAAGTCACATAGCACATGAATCATCCCGGTCAAGTAAGTCCCAACAGCCCGGTTCATCACATCCATCGCTCTTGCCTCTGGGCTTCATCCCCACTTTTTACGGCAGGTAGAACATGCCTCTCAAACTTGCGATAGTGCTCTAAAGAAACACTAGATTCGGAGTGGTCCAGATTTAGTAACCAATCTTTTGCCGAGATGCTGGGAAAGGCAAAAATCGGGGGCAAGGAAAGAAAGATTGATAGGAAGCGGAGGAGGGGCAACTTGGTTGGGTATATATCACACAATATCTACCGTGAGCAGACCAGAGCTTTCATGAATTGTAAACGCAATTTACATTATCTATGATTTAGGACATGGATTCAAGGAGACACGAAATGGTAAGGTGCCATATACGTTTTATGTCGTCACGTTAACAGTGAACTAGTTGTCAAGCATAAGTTGTGCAGCAAAGCCCCAGATACAAGATGCCAACAATGCACATCTTACAGAGCAACTGTATGCTTATTGGGCGGAAAGCCAGCATCTTCGCAATCGTGTTCACCTCCTCCAGGCCCAGCTCGAAAGCAGCCACGGGCAATTGGTGAAATGCCATCAAAGCTATTCAATGAAATGTCACGAGTACGGGCAAGTAGTTTCTGAGCTGGCACAGCTGCGAGAGCAATTCAAGCGGCTCAACGAGATGTTATCTGGTGGACGGCACAATTTGCAAGGTCCTGTCCCGGTCTTCCTGCAACTCGAAGCCAGGCATAGATCGGTACAGCAAGCTGAGATTAAGATAAGCCAACGAGCAACAGCCCTGAAAGTGGCTTGCCAGGGTTTGCAAAACGAATTGTCCGAAATAATGGCTAGCGTCTCGGGAAATAGTACAGGGACCTCGGATTTACATACCAATTGAAGCCTTTTCGATCAAGGGCCTAGGAGGATTGGGCGTCAGGGAAATCAGGCTTCTCGATGTAGGGGATAGGACATCAAGAATTTCCCCATACTAATATCATTAGATGTTATATTGAAGTTTAAAAATGGTGATTTTTACTAAGGTCACATTTTACATAACTCAAGTTATCAAGTCATGGAACACGAAAGTTTGCGTCCTGGTGCTAATGACTAAATAAACCGGACTCGCTTCTTGTAGCTAGACCGTTGCGAGCCTGGCGCAGCTTTCCTATGAATTCGCAAATCACATGCTCTACATTCGCTGCGCGCGGGAAACTTTGCCAACCTCGAACATCCAATCAGATCAAGACCCAGACGTTGGACAATGTGGCGCAAAGACAAGGGCGAACCGCCAAAATGTCGCACTTGATTTTCACCGAGATCAAGAGAAAGGACAATAGTACTATCTAAACTGTTAAGTATAAATCTAATCGGCACACAATATCTGGCACAGCTGGTACAGATCGCGTCATTGAATGGCGAGGCGTCGAGCTGTGATTTGCCAAGAAGATATGCGGAGGCCTCTGGATGCAATCGGCCGAAAGTTTCTATCCACTGTTTACCCCGCAGTCGGCATCTAATGACCCCATGGCAATGATAACGCCCATCCACTAATTGAGGTGGCGAAGATAGCTCAAAGAACAGACAGGCAATCAGTAGAGAGGATAACACGTTCGGTACATGAACTTTCGCTGAATCATCTGCCAGTCTTTGCATCCATTCTACTTGAGTAACCGCGTTCAGCAGAGGCTCTCGATTGGGAAATGTCACATTCAATCGGTAGTAATTGCGCCTGTCCAATTGATCTAATTGGCCGAGTAGATCATCCCACGCCTGTTCTGCGTCCATCGATGCTAAAAAGGAGTCGTAGAGGCGAAAGGCAAACCCGCGTGGTCGTGAGCGGCGCAGCTGACCCGCAGTCTTACCCGTGCCAAGCGACACCAATGTGCCAGGAACTGGGCTAGTTGTCCACATGAGCTGCGTCTCAGCCCGGCAAATCAAGGCCGGATTGTTGTGCTTGAGTCCTCCGTCCTCGCAAATCCCGACTCCCGGAATGGAGATGGGCGGGAAAAATCTGGCTTTGATTAGCTGTACCTAGTCATGGCTGAATGAGAGACTTACATTGGCGCAGCACTGGTCGCCCTTGCGCTGTGGTCAAAAGTCAAATTCTGCAAGAGATGGATGCTGGAGGGATCTAGACTTACCATTGCCATAATCGCGGCTCAGATTTCCTGTCTGGCGCCTCATAGACATGATAATGGCCTCCCGACGATTTATTAGCAATGAGCTCTTATTCACCCACATCGTCAACTTACCGCTCTCAAGGGAGTTCTCCGTCACACGTCGATAATTAGTCAGCAACATCGGGCGCTCCGCTACAGTGGTCACAGCTAGTTTGATTCCCGAAACTGGCTGCGCGTCAAACAAGCAGTTGTCGCTCCCGAACTCTTCCCGCAAAAGCTCATTCCAGAAATCCGCGTCATACCAACCATCTAACCACCAACAACGAATGGACCGTATGAGCTTGCTCCATATGGTCCGAGGAGGAGGATGGTTCGCGAAGAACTGAACCATAAGATTGTTTAATTTCTCCTCACACTCACTCACGGGTCGTCGTTGATAAAATACTTTCAGTACGACAAGACCGCCTAATCACACTAGTCAGCTAGTAAGAGCTAGGGATACTCGGATATTTACCAGCACTCGTTCCGAAAGCAACATCAAACAGGTCTTGCACAGGGCATGCAGAGCCCAGAATGTCCTGCATTTTAGCTAAAAAACGCAGCGGTATGATCCCCCGTACACCTCCTCCGTCAATGGTTAACGCTCGAACAGACGCGGTGGGAGGCATGATTCTAACCAGGCTGTGTCCAGGTGTCTGACAGAGAACACAGTGGCTAATCATAAATTCATACTCTGCTCCTTGGACGGGACAGCCATACCATGCCGCACAAATATCACAAAATGCATGTCCGCATGGCAGTACATGCTGCGGTGGACGCATCAGACACGCCAAACAGGTGTGGCTGCTCTCTAGGTCCTGCAAAAGCTCCTTCCTATTTGCCAAGTTCGCTCGATGAATTCGACGCGGAGGGCCTTGTCCATAGAGAAGTTTTTTATGAAATCGTGAAAGTTGATATTCAATTGCCTGACAGCTTGCAGAAATCTCTGCTGAGATCAGAGCCTCCTGACATGCCCTGCGATATAAAGTATCGAACACTGCTGCCGGACTGAAGTCTACTGAGTTTAGTCTTGTCTCAGGTGCTCAGCACTTCCTTCACTTACTGTGCGACCCAGGAGGATAAGCATCGACTAAAAGTGCAGACGCAATGATAGCTGCTTGAGCTTCGGTAGTCCACCCTCTTTTCTTCGTGAGAACTAGAAAGTTGCGTAGATGATAGCTATGAGACTGACTTATTTCAGGTCTGCCCTTGTCAATCCGAATAAAATCTAGAGGAACCTGTGGTGCCTGACTGGTATGGTGTAGAGATAACTCAAAGAAAGTGGCCATGTGCGTTGTAGAAAAAAGGTAGCAATCTTGTCGTCTATCTCGGCGACTAAAATCGGTCAATTTAAATAAATCATCTTTCAAGGAACAATGTTGTGAAACATTTGATAGCGGTTTTCCCGATAGGCGATGAAAAACAGGTGTCGCAAAAACCTCACTAATATTGCGGTCTTGCATCAAGGAGAAGAGAAAATCACTTTCATCCAGGAGCTCATGGGTTATACTCCCAGTTTCTGGTTCCAAGACAATCAAAATACGTGGACGGTAGTCTAAACTCGACGCATTGCGGCCCACCAATGCCCACCTTGTCAGCAACGCTCGTACAGCGTCAAGGCCACCAATGTCATCAGCAAAGATACAGATCACATCTGTGAATAAGAAGATGGTCCGATTTAGAAGGATATCAAAGCCTCTATAGCGACCGACAATGTGTGGTGAAAATTGTATATTCTCACAATTATCAAAGTCACATCTCACATTTCGAAGCTCGAGATTCAAATCAAAATGAGAGAAGAGCATTGGATGCTCAGCGAATGTAGTTCGGCTATCTACATCTAATTGAAGGTATGGTTGTCTGGACAAGATTGTATTATCAGGAAACAAGGCACGCAGGGCAGTATCTTTGTGTTTATTGCCTAGAAAAACTATCATTGACGGTAATTGAGTCTGGGGAGAAGCAAGCTGTTGTGAGATGTGGTGTAAGCGTCTTGTGTTGTGAATATACAATCCTTCCGCCTGCTCTGCCAGATGTAGCCATTTAGAGCTCTGGCGATTAGTCATCTTGATCTAAAGAGCGTAATGGACCTGATCCTGACTCCTACCATCGCGTCTGCTTTTATATGCTGTGGTGGTGGTTATTAGCATGCGGTTGCTTGCTTACAGATTCGACCATGCCTGATCAGCAACATCCAACAGCACTAGCTCAACTTTTCCGATCTATACAAATTGTCATATTAATGAGTATACAGAACTTAGCGATTAATACTAGTTGTGCCTTTTACCACAAACAGAGATTGAATATTGGCTGACAGGATTCAGCTTTAGCTACTTCGCTCATATTAGGTAAAATCAGAATCGAACATTTCTAGAATATGCAGTATTTCACACTGGAACTTGCTGCAGCTTCATTCGGGGACAAAACATCAGGGTAGACACGTTGATCAAGAGTTCTTATTTCTCAAACGGACCTTGCTCAGTTCGCTGTGCATTTAGATGATTGTTCTGATAATGTATGTCGGACATAACCGAAAGTTTATCGAAGAGGTCTCGGGTGCTATTGAGAAGAATTCTTTTGACCTCTACGGCATTTTCCAGGTGCGTTATCCGTGCCCGTAAAGTCTCACAATCTCTCTCCAGAGCCCTGAGTTTGGCTTTGTCGCCCTCTCTGTCAAAGCTTGTTGACACTGGACCCCGATCCATAGACGATGTCATTTGCGTTACGTGTTGACAGAGTTGCTGTATAGCCTGCGTGGCCAGTCTGAACTCGTGGACTGAATTGGGAATCGGTGGTGAAGTGGTTACATCTTTCAAGCAGCCACAAAGATCGCATGCACCCTATTGTCTTTAGAAACTCTGGGAACTGCTTGATATGAATTGACTTACATCAGTAGTAGTAGACATTGACGTGTCGAACTCCGTCTCGGTATCCATTGTACGCTTTGTGACCCAGGGAATAAGGATGGACGAAGGCAATACTTTCACGCAGAAACGCTGTCGTTGGCATCTATTTATACGGTGGCCTCTAGACTACTTTACAATGAACTGTTGATCTATATGAATCAACACCACCTAACTTCAGTACAGCGCAATCTTACAGTCTTGCTACAGTCAATATAAGCATATTTCAAGAACGCTTTCCCGGTTGATCATGCAGCAGTCCCTGCTAGAAGTCAAGATCTAAGCCAATCTAGCCAGGCTACCTCTTCGAGGAACAATGAAGTCTTCCCAGAACTCTAGAAACTGCAGCCCTTCTCTTTATTCTCGCCCTTCAAGATCCCCCTCTCCGAGCCGTCCCTGTACACCAAGTTCGTTTGAATGTTTCTTGACACTGCAAGGAGGTCGAAGCTCTGCGGTAGATGTGCTGCCGTCTAATCTTCAACAAACAAAAATCAAACGTCTGACGGAGACTGAGGAATATCAGAGAGCTATTTTTGATGCCTCTTACCTGAAGGCTGAGAATGAATGGCTTCGTCAATCACGAAAATCGGCTGTAGAACTGCATGAAGGCGCTGTACTTCCAGTGACCGAATCGCTTGCTCTAAGTGCAAACAGCATTCACAGTTCTCTTGCCCATTTTCACATTGGATTTGCAGCGGTAGAACAGTTGATTCAAATGTATAAAAACCCGGCAGCTGCCGATGTTGAAACCACACTGCAAGAGTTGATTCCTGCGTTCGAGGAATGTCGAAGAGGGTTGGACGGTATCAGGGCTGCCTTGATAGCCTTAGAGAATGGAGGCCAAAAATACTCGCATCATATTCAGAAGTCTAACAAACACTATGCAGGGTTCTTCGGTATAAGCTACGATGAGCTGAACACAACGGTATCCGGTGCAAGAGCCCGGAGGACTCAATGACAAGTGACCTTAGTTTTCATTGATAAAAAGTCCCCGCAGAAGGAAAAAGTGACTTGCTTAACTAATACACCTATTCAATTAACTTGATTCACTCTATGAGTTGAAGAGATTTGTGGCGAGAGTCATAGTTCAAGACAAGACTGTAGTAATTGAGATTCAGGTGCACATCTGAGGAACTTATGCTGTAAGATGTAAAGCAATCCTTTAATTTCCTTTCTTTCGTCTGAGATGGACATTTACCTCAAGTAAAGCTGATGCAGGCTTTCCACTACGTAGATCGCATAAAAAGCCCTTCAATATAGTACTGTGTTCTATCTTAGAGGAATTGGTTCGGCAATTAAACCCAAAACCTTCATATCATCGGTGTATGCCTGAACATTATGGAGTAGGCAATTTCCGATCATTGCTACCCAAAAGTATGAATACGGTAGGCTGCGCTTAAAGGTATGCTCCTTACCTAACTTAATAGTGCCCGTCCAGTGCAAGCGAATGGAGTCGAGGGATACAGTTCTTCCGGATACCGGTGTCACCACCTACACTCTTCGATTGTTTCAGCAACCCCAAGATGAAACAACGCTAAACCTAACTCGGAAGCCGGCTGGAACAACAATGCTCCGCAAGGTTACAGTATACTGTGATGACATGTACTATGTACGGTAATTTATGGAAACATCTAGACTTGTTTAAGTGCCAAACTGGCCTTTGATACAAATAATCTAGAAATCACGGGACGGTCGTACCAAATAATAGTATAAAGTTGTTGCACATCCCAGCCCTTCTTTTATAAAGAGATTAGAAAATAAGACACTGGAGGAAAGTACTGTACGAAGATATCCTTTGGTTAAAAATCACATCGTAGGATTGGAACGCGCCCATTTGCTAATCCGAGGGCAAGTGTGGTATCCTTAATAGCACAACACCGAAGAGAACGATAGTCAGTAGGAAGCCACAGGACCCTTTCATTTTGAAGAAAGACCCAGGAATCTGCAATAGATATAGAATAATTGTTAGTGGATTGGTTTACCACCGATTCGACCGTGCCGGAGTGGCCGGTCAGCGTGCGCTGCTCGACGCCTGTGGCCGTGTCCCAGAGCTTGATGGTCTCGTCAGCCGAGCCCGACCCCAGCGTGCGGCCGTCCGGTGAGAAGGCCACTGAGCTGACC